TTGACGTTAATTTTGTATCCTGATACTTTGCCAAATTCATTTATTAAGTCTAGTAAATTTTTGATGGAGTCTTTGGGGTTTTCTACGTATAGTATCATGTCATCTGCGAATAATGATAGTTTCACTTCCTCCTTTCCAATTTGAATCCCTTTTATTTTTTCTTCCTGCCTGATTGCTGTGGCTAAGACTTCCAGTACTATGTTAAATAAGATTGGTGAAAGTGGGCATCCCTGTCTTGTTCCTGTTCTTAAGGAAAATGCTTTTAGTTTCTGCCCATTGAGTATGATGTTGGCTGTAGGTCTTTCATATATGGCCTTTATTATGTTGAGATATGATCCCTCTATTCCCACACTGCTGAGCGTTTTTATCAGAAATGGATGCTGAATTTTGTTGAATGCTTTATCAGCATCTATTGATATGATCATGTGGTTTTTATTCTTCATTTATTTTATATGGTGTATCACATTTATTGATTTGTGAATATTGTACCAGCCTTGCATCCCTGGGGTGAATCCCACTCGGTCATGGTCAATAATTTTTTTGATGTGTTGCTGGATTTGATTTGCTAGTATTTTGTTCAGGATTTTGGCATCTAGGTTCATCAGGGATATTGGCCTGTAGTTTTCTTTCTTTGTAATGTATTTTTCTGGTTTTGGAATTAGAATTATGCTGGCCTCATAGAACGAGTTTGGAAGTCTTCCTTCTTCTTGTATTTTTTGAAATAGTTTGAGGAGAATGGGTGTTAGTTCTTTTTTGAATGTTCGGTAAAACTCCCTCATGAAGCCATCCGGGCCTGGGCTTTTGTTTGCTGGGAGAGTCTTGAATACATCTTCAATTTTCTTAGTTGGTTTGTTCAAATTTTCTATCTCTTCCCGGTCCAGTTTTGGGAGACTATGTGTTTCTAGAAATTTTTCCATTTTGCTTAGATTGTCGAATTTGTTGCCATATCATTTTTCATAGTAGTTGTTAATGATCTTCTGTATTTCTGTGGTATCAGTTGTTACTTCTACTCTTTCATTTCTGATTTTGTTCATTTGGGTTCTCTCTCTTTGTTTCTTGGTGAGTCTAGCTAAGGGTCCATCAATCTTGTTTATCTTTTTGAAAAACCAGCTCTTTGTTTCATTGATCCTTTGAATTGTTTTTTTGGTCTCTATGTTATTTATTTCTGCTCTGATCCTTACTATTTCCTTCCTTCTACTTGCTCTGGGGTTTTCTTTTTGTTTGCTTTCTAGTTCTTTAAGTTTGAGGTTAGGTAGTCTATTAGAGATTTTTCTTCTTTTTTGAGGTAGGCCTGTAGTGCTATGAACTTCCCTCTCAGAAGTGCTTTCACTCTATCCCATAGGTTTTGTGTTGTGTGTTCCTTTTCATTGGATTTCAGGAAGTTTTTAATTTCCTCCTTGATCTCCTCATTGACTCATTCATTGTTTAATAACATGCTATTTAGCTTCCATGTGTTCAAATGTCTTTGCATGTTCTTGTTGCAATTGATTTCTAGTTTCATGCCATTGTGATCTGAGAAGATGCTTGATATGATTTCAGTCTTCTTGAACTTGTCAAAACTTAGTTTGTGTCCTAACATGTGGTCTATCTTTGAGAATATCCCATGTGCACCTGGGAATGTGAATTCTGTAGTTTTGGGGTGTAATTCTCTGTAGATATCTATTAAATTCATTTGGTCTAGTGCTTCATTTAGAGTCTCTGTTTCCTTGCTAATTTTTTGTCTAGAGGATCTATCCAGTGATGTCAGCAGGGTTTTGAAGTCCCCTGCTATAATTGTATTGCTATTGATTTCTTCTTTGAAGTCTTCCAGAAGATTTTTAATATATTTTGGTGCTCCTATATTGGGTGCATATATGTTTATCAAGGTTATATCTTGCTGTTGGATAGATCCTTTCAATGTTATGTAGTGGCCTTCTTTGTCTCTAGTTATGGCCTTCATTTTGAAATCTATTTTATCAGATATGAGTATTGCTACCCCAGCTTTTTTTTTCCTTTCTGTTTGCTTGGAAGATTTTTTTCCATCCGTTCACTTTCAACCTATGTGAGTCTTTTGTTGAGAGGTGGGTCTCTTATAAACAACATATAGATGAGTCATGCTTCCTTATCCAATCAGCTACTCTGTATCTTTTATTCGGAGCATTCAATCCATTTACATTTAAGGTGATTATTAATATTTAGTTATTTATTGCCATTTTTGTTTAGTGTGGTTATATTTTTCTACCTATTTCTCCTGGTAAATACAGCAGTCCTTTTAACATTTCTTGCAGTGCTGGTTTGGTGCTAATATATTCCCTTAGCCTTTTTTTGGGTCTGGGAAGCTCTTTATTTTACTTTCTATTTTGAATGATAGCCTTGCTGGGTAGAGCAGTCCTGGATTCAGATCCTTGTTTTTCATGACCTTCATTACCTCATGCCATTCCCTTCTGGCCTGTAGTGTTTCTTGTGAGAAGTCAGCTGAGAGCCTTATGGGGTTTCCTTTGTAGGTAACCTGTTGCTTTTCTCTTGCTGCTTTTAGGATTCTCTCTTTGTTTTTAATATTTAGCATTTTGATTACTATGTGTCTTGGTGTGGGCCTGTTTGGCTTCTTCTTACTTGGGGCTCTCTCTGCCTCTTGAACTTCAATGCCTTCTTCCTTCACCAAATTAGGAAAGTTTGCTGTCACTATTTCTTCAAATATATTCTCTAACCCTTGCTAATTTTCTTCTTCTTCGGGGACTCCTATGATGCGAATGTTATTTCGTTTCCAGTTGTCCCACAGTTCTCTGAAGCTGTCTTCCTGTTTTTTAACGTTTTTTTCCGTTTGGTTTTCTGATTGGTTGATTTTTTTCTACCCTGTCTTCTATTTCACTGATCCGGTCCTCAGCTTCTTCTACTCTGCTATTTAGACCTTCCAATGTGTTCTTTATTTCTGATTTGTCATTCTTCATTTCTTCTTGGTGATTTTAATTTCCAACTGGTTGATTTTCAACATTTCTATATCTTTACTCATGTCCTTACACATGCTGTTGAGCTCCCCCAAGATCATGGCTCTGAATTCTAGTTCTGTTAACTTGCTTAACTGCACCTCATTTATCTGCACCTTCAGCAGAGGTCTCTTGTTCTTTCATTTGGCTTTTGTTTCTGTGTTTCACCATTTTGGCTATCACAGTGGGCTTTGGAGCCTGCCAAATTTTCCCTGTGAGTATTGGTATTCTGCTGTTTGTGGCTCCTTCTTCTGGGTTTGGATGAGCCAGGGAGGATCTACGTTACACACCACTGTCAAGTTTTACTTTTCTGGTTAATGTTGCTAGCCCAGGGAATGGTACAGTTATTCTCTAGCTTTTTGCCTGGAGGCTATCAGTAGTGGTTACCTGAAGAACCTTGGCTTCTCAGTTGAATGAAAAACTCCCTCATATGCTCAGTATAACAGGATTTCCCGAGGGTGGGGCAGATGCTGGTGTTAATAGGCCTCAATTAGCATTTCAATGGCCACCTGGGCCCTGGCCGGTTTGGCTCAGAGGTTGGAGCGTCAGCCTGCGGTCCTGAGAGACCTGGGTTCGGTTCCCTCTAAGGGCATGTGCCTCAGTTGCAGTTTGTCCCCGGCCCTGGTCCTCTGGTCAGTCAGTCGTGTGGGTGGCAGCCACTCGATGTGTTTCTTTCGCATCGATGTTTCTCTCTCTCTCTCTCTCTCTTCCTCTCTCTCCCTCCCACTCTACCTGAACAAAAAATGGAAAAATGTCCTCAGGTGAGGATAAAAAAAAATAAAAAAATAAATGGCCACCTGGTGGGGTTGAATCTCCTGGGGAGGGGCCGCTGCCTCTCCTCAGGGCCCTGGGAAGGAGTAAGATGACCACAGTCCCGTGTGGCTGCAACTCAGCAAATGCTCTGAGCACCCTTCAAATCCTGAATTTCCCCACTCAGTTCCAGTCCAGTCTGCCTTTCCTCTGCCAGAGTTCAAGGTAAGTGGCTGCTGCTATTTTAGCCTCTGTCCTGGATCTGTGCTGTGGAGCTGCTTGGGAGTTTAACCCGAGGGCGCCACTCACAGCCAAGGCCGCTGCCAGACCGTGGGTTCCCAGCCCCCTACTCGCGTCTCCACAAGCCTACCAGGATTGAGTCAGTGTCCCTGGTTATGTGGTCCTCCAAGCTGCTTTTCTGTTGCCTTTTCCTGACGATTGTCTTTATTTTTGTTGTAATCCCAGTTTGGTCCTGGGAGATGGTCTGTGTAGCTTCCATTCACTCTGCAGCCATTTTGGAATCTATCTAGATTATTTTAAATATGAACTTAACATCTGCCCTAGCTAACCAAAAACCTTATCCTAAGTGTATTTTGTGCCTTGAGCTACTATTGATAGTAAGTCATGTTTTTAATTTATAAGTACATTAATATACATATGTTTAGGAGGCTAACAAATATTGTAGTCATAAGTATAGGAGATCAAAAAACTTTGTAGACTACTGATCTAGCCAAAAATTCCCCGCACACTTCTGACTCAGTATCCTAACTCAGAAGGAACTAAGGATAAAGCATTTTTAAGAAAGCAGCATTCAAAGATGAATCCCTCAAATTTCTGGACTTGGAGCCCTGCAAAGGCCTATTCTATAAGGAATATGTTCTTGGAAGAAATTAAAAATTTCCTTCAAACTTTTCCTTTAATAAGGGCTGACCTCCAAAATATCTATTACTAGGGAAAATAAGTAATTCATTAATTACCCTTATTTTTTATTTTATTTTTTTAAATAAATTTTCTTTTTAATCTTCGCCCAAGGATATTTCCCATTGATTTTCAGATAGAGTGGGAGAGAGGGAGAGAGAGAGAAACATCAAACCCAACCAGTGCTGGGGTTTGAATTGCAACCGAGGTACATGCCCTTGACTAGAATCAAACTCAAGACTCTTCGGTTCATGGGCCGACACTCTAACTGCTGAGCCAAACCCTCCAGGGCTCATTAATTACCCTTATAAGTGCAATATTTATAGTCTAGATATGTTTAAGAACAGATATTATTTTCAATTACTGTACCTGTTTTTCTTCTCTGCATTTCTTGAGGGTTTTCATTATATGAGTATGTTCCTCCTCTCTCCTTTTCATCATGATTTTCATCTGTTTCATACCAATCAGAGCCTTCTTCACTTCTTCATCAACATCTATCTCCCCAGCCTCAGAAAATCCTAAAAGATATGTTGCAGTTTTTTGTTTTGAGATCTGATCAGATTATAATGTATCTGAATCTGCATCGAAATGCAATGAATTCACCATTTGTGTGTGTGTGTGTGTCTCCTAAATAGAGGCTTAATTGTTCTTTTATAGCATCAAACTCTGAAAGCAGATCATAATAAATTAGCTGTCAGCTGCCACATGGACCCAGCTGCCACATGGATAATACCTTCTGTTCCTCACTGCTGAGCTCCTAGACAAGTCAGAGTTAATTTAACCTCATTCTTGCCATTTTCCTTGCGGCCTGTTTTCATTTATCCATTTTTTTTTTCTTTCACTTAAAGCTCAAGTGTGTTTGTATTATAGAAAATTTGAAAGTTTCTTCACAATTTATATTAAATACCCAACTGGGAACTTCAAACCCAGTAAACCACTTCCCTTTCTCTCAGCTTCAATTATCTTCCCAGGAGGCATCAAACCTAGAAAGTATCACATATAGTGCCAGATTCTTTAATAACCTACTGAACATCTCTTGCACACCTTTAATAACCCTTTAGTGAGTATAAATTCCTTGTCATTCTCTCCACAATAGCTAATGTGGCTTCCTATAGAGCTATTCTTGCCTTCAAATTTAACTATAGATATCTCCCAAAAAAGCATTTAACTAACTTATTTTTCTAAGTGTTAAGTACCCAAAACATTTATTATCAAGCAAAAGTCAGAAGTTAATGGGCACAGACCAACCAGATTCAATGTCATTATAATCCATTCTCTCTCTATCTCAAGAATAACTGCACAGATTACTTTAATTGTTTAAATTTTTCAAATGCTAGAAAAGAATTTCACTGTTCATTAAAACTGTGCTTAGAGGACACCAAACATCTGGATGATACCAAGAAATGCAGTAAAAAAGTTGGCAAGTTTTATCTCTGTGATAGCAAACATCTGGATATAGGAATGTTCTCAGATACTCAATTGGAATTTTCTATTTTTATCCAGATGTTTGGCGTCACATCTACTTGGTCTAAGTGCCCAGAGAATGTCTCACTGAGAAACCAGAGGGCCGTAAGGAACACAGTTATCTCTCCACCGTAAATCACTGTAAGTGCCAGCAGGACATGCAAACATGCACACAGGACAAGGCACAGATAAAGAAACTAAACACACCCTTCAGGTTTTCATGGATTGCAGTTTTGTCCTTCCAAGTAGGTGCACAGTGACAGTCTTTCAACCAGAGCAGATACACAATAAACACCAAGAGTGGCAGCTTCATGTTCCCGCTGTTACTGCAAAGGAAAAATAAACCTGCATCAAATGCCTGCCATTAGGTTAGTTTCTGTTGGCATCAATTGAAAACACATGGTGACTCAAAGCATTTTTCGGTCAATTTTTCTTTATGACTTTAGACAATTCATTAGCCTGAGACATAGGAAAGCTAGAATACAAAAAAAAAAAAAAAAAAAAAAGGCAACCCAAGTCTCTAGTTTGTTTACATTTTTTATGACAGTTAAATAAGATCATCATCCAAAGTACTTAAAATTTAAGGTAACAGATAGTATGGCTCACAACCCCATAGAATCCAAATTTCATTTTATTTCCTTGTCAACAGTAAACATTCCCAAACACAGACTTGGTTAATATATCAGAGGGATTTCCCCCCTACAATTTTGAATCCTCAAGTGAGTTTCACCTAGATGGTTAAATACTTTTTCTTCCCGACATTTCTTTTTTTATGGAAGCAAAGCAGCCTCACACATTTTTTTATACTTATAAAAACCATCAATATATATAAATAGTTCACAATTAAATGGTTTTCTTCTCACATAATAAATTTCCTTTTAGGTTTAATTTCATATACATTAATTATAAACATTTAAAATGCAAATGTTTAGAACTTCACAAAGGAAAGTTAAATAAATTAAAACAACTGTATGCTTTAACAAAGTTAAATCCATAAAATGTTAGATTATCTTAGCTCTTCCCAAAGGGAATATTTATCTACTTTGTGTATATTTGCTATTTTGGAAAAAGAAACAAAAAACAATACCTTCCATTATTTAAACAACATTTGGAATTTTAATCAACATTTTGGCATGTCTTTTTGTTGTTGTTAATCCTCATCCAAGGATATCTTTTCACTGATTTTTAGATAGAGTGTAAGGGAAGGAGGGAGAGAGAGAGAGAGAGAGAGAGAGAGAGAGAGAGAGATCAATGTGAGAGAGACACATCGATATGTTGCCTCCCACACGACCCCAAGCTGGCCAGGGATTGAACCTGCAACCCCGGTATGTGCCTTTGACTGGGAATCAAATTGGTGACCCTTCAGTCCCTGGGCCCACACTCTAACCACTGAGCTAAACTGGCCAGGCCTGTTTTTTCAATATAATAATAAAATAACATTAGTACTAATAGTTACAAAGTTATCACATTTTACATGCATATACATTTATTACTTTAACTCTTCTCTTTCTATTATGACCCTATTTAGTAAATGGAACTTTTAAATATACTTACTACTAACTTTGCAGTATTTTTCCAGTGAGGTTACCACCAGCTCCTGGAAGGACCTTCACTTTTCTCTGATTAAATTTTCATCGGTGTCAGGGATTTAGCCTTGTTCTAATAATTTGATGACACATACCTTAATCCTATTAACCAGACAGTTTGAGATTAAGAGTATTTAAAGGTTTAAAATTTGGTAGGATTTAGAAAGAAACGCTAGAGGGCGGGCTATGCACATGATCAGGTAAAATGACCTCGAGTTATTTTATTTCACACAAATGTTTTGATAGGATTCATTAAAGCCTTAAACATATTTTTTTTACTTAAAATTTATGATATGTATATTCCAATATATACAAACAAATTAATTTTATCGGAAGTATAAGCAACAATATGAAAGAGAATTTACTGTTAGATAAGACACTTTGAAGATTATTTACATAGTTGTTTGGTATTTTTTGACTATATGCAAATACATTTTAACTACATAAAGTGATGAAATTTGGCACATAAAAATGCAATAGATGAGTATTTCAGGCTCACTACAATTTTGTAATTGATTAGCTGAACTGATAGTGTGGCCCCTTAGTAATTCATTTAAAAACAACTTAGTTGCCCTGGCTAGTTTGGCTCAGCGGTTAGAGCGTCGGCCTGCGGTCCGGAGAGACCCGGGTTCGGTTCCCGCTAAGGGCATGTACCTCGGTTGCAGTTTGTCCCCGGCCCTGGTTGGTCGTGCGGGTGGCAGCCACTCGATGTGTCCCTTCACGTCGATGTTTCTCTCTCTCTCTCCCTTCCTCTCTCTCCCTCCCGCTCTATCTGTACAAAAAATGGAAAAATATCCTCGGGTGAGGATGAAAAATAAAAAAATAAAATAAAAAAAAAATTAAAAACAACTTAGTTAGTCACCATAGCCAGGTCTAGAACCTACAGTGATAGGTCTCTCTGGCTTTTGAAATCTAAAGATTGTCTTGGGCCCCCTTTGAAGGTTTTGAGGGATTAACCAATCCATACTTATTATGTGCTCAGTACTTTCTAAGCGGGTTAGGTGGACAGTTTTGAACTGGTCCACCTGCTTTTCCAGGGACCTTGGAAGTTGGTCCTTGTGTTTGAGCAACTTGTAGTCTGGAGTTTATGTCCACTGCACTTGGGCGCTGGGATGGGCAATTACAGGACACATTCCAAGTCCAGCTCACACCCCATTTCAGGTGTTTTGATCACCCACTAATTCTCTAATTTAGCTGGAAGCTTCTTCTTTTTTTTTTTTTAATCCTCACCCGAGGACATTTTTCCATTTTTTGTTCAGGTAGAGTGGGAGGGAGAGAGAGGAACAGAGAGAGAGAGAGAAACATCGATGTGAAAGGAACACATCGAGTGGCTGCCACCCACATGACTGACCAGGGCCGGGGACAAACTGCAACCGAGGTACATGCCCTTAGCGGGAACCGAACCCAGGTCTCTCTGGACCGCAGGCCGACGCTCTAACCGCTGAGCCAAACCGGCCAGGGCTGATTTAGCTGGAAGCTTCTTAATGCTGTTAGAAAACATATCAGCCCAGAGCAAAACTTGAACTATTATTTTAAGTAGCTTACTATCAGTTTTGAGCAACTTCAATTCTCACCTGTAAACAGATGTGTCCTATCCTGAGAGGTGACTGATGGCCAATGGAGGAAACAGCACTGTAGGTATTTTTCTCAGGAAGAGAGAACATTGTTCTGAAAAAGTCAAGACATTATCCAGCGCTTCTCTGACCCTGAGAACTCTTGCTCAGTAGTTTGCTGTTGCCCGAGTCTGAGCTTGTTTGAGGTCATTCACGGCTGGCATCTGCATACTCTTTTTCAACAAACCCAAATTTTGTTGAAAATGGAACCAGTTATGCAGGCAGTTCAGTGGCCCATCCTCTAGTGGTAGGCAGACATTTTGTGTAATCCATGTTCCCTCATTAAGTGTAATTTCTGAGAACAGAACTTTATTGCTAACCGGTACTAATTACTTTTTAAAATATCTTGAAGCTTCCAAAAAGAAATAATTTCTTCCTCTAATTATTTCATCTGTTTTCACAGCTGCCATTTTGTTCTTAAGATTAAGCAATACTTTATACAAATCCAGTTACTTTCATAATTATGACATCATCACGTTCAAGATTTAAGTGGATTATAAAATATTATAAGTATCTAGTTGGTAACTAAGGAGACCTAGAAGCAAGGTCATCGTAGTTAAAAAAGGCAGCAGGGAGAGGCATGTGGTATCAACTGAGAAATAGAAGAGTCAGACAGATGGATTTGAAAATGTCAGGCTAAGTTGCTAAGTTCAGGCTTGACCAGAGTGGCATAATGGACTTGCTAATAAGTCACCCCTGATTAGATTTACCCCTCTCCTTTTGCCACAGGCCTAGCCAGACAACCTCTGGTCTTCCCACTAGAACACTTCCTTGGCAGAGAGCAGACCAGGAAGCTTGTACCATCTGTGTCTTTTCCTACGAGCCTAACTCCAGCACACAACGTCCATGTCCCAGAAGTCGTGCAGCCTGGAAGCCCTGCATGTGTCCTATGGACAAGCTGGTGTTTTCTGTCTTGCACCAGTAAGGTTGGAAAGGGGAGGAAAAAGAGTGAATCTCAAATAAATTCTCCACAACAAATGAGATCCATGGACTAGTGATTTCTCCCATGAGTCAAATAATTTACTACTTCATGGGAGGGTGAGAAAAAGGAATGCCACCTGGTAGAAGTCCCTCCACAAACAGGAGGCAGCACCCCACACCCCGCCATTAAGAAACAAAAATCAAGGAGGGAACACATAAGAGAAGTAAAATAAAAGGCAAAAGCTTACTCCAGCTGGTGTGGCTCAGTGGTTGAGCGTTGACCCCTGCACCAAGAAGTCGCTGGTTCAATTCCTGGTCAGGACACATGCCCAGGTTGTGGGCCAAATCCCCAGTGTGGGGCCTGCAGGAGGTGGCCAATAGATGTTCTCTTTCATGGATGTTTCTATCTCTCTCTGTTTCACTTCCTCTCTCTAAAATCAATAAAAAAAGAAGAAGCAAAGACAAAAGCTTAAAAATCCAAATAAATTATTTATGTAGATTTTAATAGTAATTGATTTCATTGGATCTGTCGTCCTTCCTTCCTTTTCTCATTCAGCCATCCACTTAAAGGACATGATTCACATTAAAAAACAAAATTTTAGAAGTGGAGTGTCAATTCTCTTTTAAAAATTGTTCCCTTTGCATGCAGTAAATTTGGCTAATTTACTGATAGAAAGAGGACCAATGATGAAATATAAAGATCACTGATTTAAAAGGTCAGGTTCCATCAGAATCCCTGCCATGCTGTGCATTTGGTACTCTATGTCCTCATCTAAAAATGAAAAATGATTGGAAGAAATAATCTCAACTGTTACTCCCAGCTCTAAAGTTCTGTGGTTGTCACTTGCTTATTCTCACCAAGCTTCATCATAGATTGAGTGTAATAAATGAGTTGAATCAATTTGTAAAATAAAACATTACAGCTACCTTACTTCTTTTACAGAGTTGCTGAACAGATCAATTTAGTTAATGCAAATCAAAATGTTTTACTAAGCCATAGAGCACAATGTAATCGGAAGGTAGATCAACACCTCTTTAAAAAATTCAGACTAAACTAAATTATTTTAGGCTCATATAACAGCAAAAATAGGCATCAAATCCAGACTTCAAAATCTTTCATGAAAGAGATCAAGCTTGAATACAATATGAGGAAGTTATATCCCACTTAACCTCATTATAAAATTGGAATTTATCTGTACAGACATGTACCACATAAATTTAATTATTGATCAGAATGCATATAAATACCAAATAAGTTCTAGAATTCCCATTCCACCTAACACACTACTTCTCTTGCTTCCAATAGCATATTCACCAAATGTATGTTGGGCACCTATTGTGTTCCACACACTGAGGATATGGCAGGAGCAAAACAGGCTCTTTGCTCTCTCGGAGCTCTTGTTGCACTCCAGTGGGAGGGGAGTAATTTGGAACGAGAGGTACTACTTTGGAAGGTTGGGCAGCCAGGGAAGGCCTCTCTGAGGAGGGGGGACCTCTAGTTAATACCATTCCGGAAAGTAGGTCTGGCTTTTTTAATTTGTAGGGCCCAGTACAAAACGAAAAGGCAAAGCCCCTTGTTAAAAAATTATTAAGAATTTCAAGACAACAATAGCAGAGCACTAAACCAATCGCTGGCGGGAGCATGGGCACAGGTCACACATGCATGAAGCCAGCCCTTGGTGAGAGACAGAAGAGCCAAGTGCAAGAGCAGGAACAAACTTGACCTATTTAAGGAACAGAAAAGAGGCCAATGTGGTAGAGTGTAGTGAGAGGAAGGAGAAGTATATTAGGTGACGAGGCAGGACAGGTCGAGCAGCGTAGCAGGGTAAGGAATAAACAATTTTTTAAAAAGTGAGATGAGATCATTGTGAAGGATCTTCCAAAGGGCAATGATCTGATCTGAATGGCTTTGAAAGACAAGGTGGCTACTGTGTGAACAACGGATTATAGGACAGTAAGGTAGGAAGGACCTGCTTTTATTGCCAGAAGGAGACAATGGTGGCTCTTTGGGCAGAGTGAGAAGTAGTCAGATTTGAGGTTTCTTTTGGAGGTAAGACTGAACTGTGAAGTAAAGAGCAGAGTTAAGTATGACTGATGAGTGTTTGCCCAAGCTACAGGTGGATGGTGATGCTGTTCTCCAAGATGAGAAAGGCTGGGGCATTTTGCCCTTACTCACCTCCCACAGTCTCCCCACCCAATGCAGCCTGGACTTCACTCTCACGGCCAGTGGGAACTTTTATTGCTAAAGGCATCAAGGAGCTACTGATGACTAAATCCACTGCTTACATTTAATCCCCTCTTACTTGTCCTCCATGTGACATTTGGCATAGTTAACCAGCCACTGTTGCTAAAAGCAGCTAGTCTTTTGGTACCGATGAGGCCATTCTCTCAGGGTTCTCCTCCTACCTCTCAGACTGCTTCTTTTATTTGTAGCAGGACAGGTTGCCTTCCTTTCATCATTTCAGTTCCACCCATTCTCACTGGGGTTCTCCATCCTCTAAAT